TCCAGGGTATAACAACCAGAATAACACAGAATTTAAAACCCTGCTGTGAGAGACTGAAGGAAGTGGGAGAGGGGTCAGGAGGAAGCAGAAGCCAGGAATATGGAAATTGCTAAATGCAAAATTCCTGTAGAAATGCAGCTTTTAAAAATGTTGCCTTTATTTTCTAGATTAGTACCCAAAACACGCCCCCAAACTAGCAATACCTGCTGTTGTTGAGTCAGTTCCCACTCATTGTATCCAGATAGGAGAGAGTAGAGATGTCCCATAGGGTTTCCAAGGCTGTAAATCTTTACCAAGCAGGCTGCCATGTTTTTCTCCCATAGGGGAGCTAGTGGATTTGAACCACTAACCTTTTGGTTAACAGCCCAGCACTTAATAACTGAGTCACCAGGGCTCTTTCCAAAAGTGCCAGCAAGTTGGTTTCCGACTCACAGCAATCCTGTATAGAGTTTCTAAGGCTTGTAAATCTTTGCAGGAGCAAACAGCCTCATTTTGCTTGAGGCGCCACTGGTGGGCTATAACTACTGACCTGTGCTTCTCCTATTGAGCCACTGTGCTCCATTCTAAAAACTAATAGGCACTCGTTTTTGTGAAAAACATTCCAGTGGACCAGCTAGCCTACTTGGTCTTGGTGGCATTAGAGTCCAGAACTAGGGCAGTGGGAGGTAACCACCATGAGACTACTTCCACCTTAGCATGAAGAGAGGCAAGCTATTCATCCTTCAGTTGGAGGCAGGAAAAATGCTGCTTCGGGAATATCCATGATAACCTGAGGGGGTTCCTACAGGTTCTGCTGACTGCCTGTTGGTGTTGGGTGCTGGTCAAGCTGATTCCAACTGATAATAACTCTGTATTGGGTTTCTGAGGAGCAGCTGATGGGTTTTAACTACAGACCCTATGGTTCAGCAGTCCAGTGCTTATCCCACAGTGCCAGACCAAGAGTCCCTGTTAGCTACGGTATAATAAGCTACCTCAGCACAATTCTATCATATCTGAAGTCCTGAGAGTCTGCTCTATTATCGTTTTTTATACAAGTGTCCTGTCACATTACTTGTATGTCTCAGAGTGCAGTGTGGGTATGAGCATGTGGTACTCCTGCCTGATGAGGCATGGGCTAATTTTAGCTGCTACGAAGACTAACTTTTACAATGCTAATAGTTATGTATTTCTTTTAATATGTGTTAGAAAAGTTGCAACCAGCACACAGTTGTGTAAGACAAGGCTACATTTTAAAAGCAAGTAAATTTAAAATTGATTAATAAAAAATTGGACTCTTGGTGTGGTGCTATAGGGTAAACACTGGACTATGAGCCACAAGGTTGGTGGTTCAAACCCACCAGCTGCTCTTCGGAACCCCTACACAGGGTCACTGTGAGTCAGAACTGGCTCAACTATACTTAACAGCAACAGCAACAATAAAAAATTAAGTAATCATTTTGTTGTTGTTGTTAAGTCTCATCGAGTCGGTTCCAACTCATAGCAACCCTGTATAGGGTTTCTGAGGAGCGGCTGGTGAGTTTGAAATGCCGACCTTGCAGTTGTAGGTCAGTGCTTCTCCTGTAGCACCACAAATATATTCAGATACGTCAAAAATCAGGGAAGTAGTGAGTGGATATCTAAACTCTATTCTATGTATAAAATATTTCTTTTAAATTCACATAAGTAAGACATAAAAGCCATTTTATTTTCTTTACTAGTATCCCAGTCTTCTCTACTACCTATAATAGAATGCATCCCATATTTTCCACCTAATACTCCATCACTGAATAAGTCTCAGATTATTTCTTTTTCATTGAAAAAAAGCAATCCAATAATGTCCATAAATGTGATTTAAAAGACGACAAATTAAATAACAACATTAACAAGAGAAAAAAATAGGTCTTCTACATCTTGACCACCCCCAACTTATCAGTAGCTGTGATTCTTCCTTCATTGCTTCCAGTGTTGGAACCTATTGTGTGTACTTTTCCTCAGATGTCTTTTATATTTTCATTTTAAGTTTAGCATACCAGATTGCTTTATTGCAAACTCCTTTTAGCTGCATATTTTTCTCTCAGGATTGTTAACCACTTGTCATTCCTCAGACTTAACACAATCTTTTCTTATACTTCACTTAGACCCGATGTTGCCTTTGTAAGTAAAATGGAATTTAGACTGTAGTTCAGGAGCTAGAGTTTCAGCCACTACTCCAGATGCCTTCCTTAGGAAACTTTAGATACCCTAATTTTTCTTCTGTGTGCTTTTCCTTGGTGTTTTATAAAGTTTTCACATAAATTATACCATTCCCAATTTGGCCTCTGATCTCTGTAACGGACCTTGTATCTGTGCTGTCCCTCTCTCCAGTTCACTGTGGCTCTTCCTTCCCCCATTAAAATATCTCACAGAAACCCATGAGGACTCCATGTCCCTTGGGTGGAGATAGCGGATTCCCTCTAGTTTTACTTTATTAAATCCATACCCTCAAGGCAGTGCCTACTCAGCAACCCTATAGGACAAAGTAGAACTGCCCCACAGGGTTCCCAAGGCTGTAAGCATTTACAGAAGCAGATGGCCACCACATTTTTCTCCTGTGGAGTGGTTGTTGAGTTTGAACTTCCAGCATTTTGGTTAACAGCCAAGTGCTTAACTACTGAGCCACCAAGTATCCTTGTTTAATTAAAGCATTCCTGTTATACTCTCTTGCCCATAACCATGTTTCTGATATTTAATTTATTTACCTTTTTATAAGGGAGTGCAGTGACTTTGTAGGATTCATCACAAGGTCGGTAGTTCAAGCCCACCATTCACTCCTTGGAAGAAACATGAGACTTTCTGCTCCTGCAAAGGTTTACAGCTGCAGAAACCCTATATAGTGTTCCTCTGAGTCAGAACTGACTCAAAAGCAAAGCACTTAACAACATCAACATATGTGTGTCTAAAATCAAATTATTACCATATTATTTTATGCATTATTTGAGTTAAAATGCACAGCTGTAAGTAACTATTAATAATTGGAACATGAGATGTATGAAGTACTTGAAAGTCATCCAAAATGAAATAAAGTACATAACAATCAATATTCTAGCCATTAGTAAACTGAAATGACTGATACTGACCATTTTGAATCTGGAAAAAATACCAGAAATTACAAATTGAAGAGGAGTGGCATGTATTTATCATCAAAAAGAACATTTCAAGATCTATCCTGAAGAATATTGTCAGTGATAGGATACTGTCCATATGCTGATAAGAAAGACCAGTCAGTGTGACTATTATTCAAATGTACTAGCCACTAATGTCAAAGATGAAGAAATTGAAGATTTGTACCAATTTCTGCAGTCTGAACTTAACCAAATAAAGTACATTGATAATGAATGGTGATTGGAATGCAAAAGTTGGAAACAAAGACGGGTTTGTTGTTTGTAAGTGCTGGGTCTGTTCCCACCCATACTGACCCTGTATAGGATTTTCGAGGAACTGCTGGCGAGTTTGAACTTACGACCATGAAGTTCAAACAGACCTTGTGATTGAGTCCTTGGTGTTAGAAATGACACTAGAAATTACACTGCAGAATTTCACATGACCAGTGATTTATTCATTGCAAATACCTTTTTTCAACAATATAAATGGCAACTATGCACATGTACCTCACCAGTTGGAAAACACATGAATCAAATCAGACATCTGTGGAAAAAGATACTGAAGAAGCTCAATATCATTAGTCAAAACAAGGCCAAGGCCCAAATGTGGAAGAGACCATCAGTTCCTCATAAGCACATTCAGGTTGAAGACAAAAATATTGAAACAAGTCCACAAGATCCAAAATATGACCTTGAGTATGATGGTTGGTTGTATGGCATTGAGTCGATTTTGACTCATAGCAACCCTGTACAGGGTTTCCGAGGCAGTAAATCTATAGAGCAGAAAGCCTCATCTGTCTCTCAGGAGTCACTGATAGATTCTAACTGCTAACCGTGCAGTTAACAGCACAGCCTATAATCCACATTGTTACCAGGGCTCCTTTTGACCTTGAGTATATCCCACCTGAATTTAGACACTATGCAGTCATAATATGCAGATGACACAACCTTGCTTGATGAAAGGGAAGAGAATTTGAAGCACTTACTGATCAAAGACTACAGTCTTTATTATGGATTACACCTCAACATAAAACAAAGATCCTCACAACTGGACCAATAAACAAGACCATGATAAATAGAGAAAAGATTTAAGTTGTGAAATTTTCATTTTACTTGGATTGACAATCAATGACCATGGAAATGGTAAAAAATCAAAGGATGTATTGCATTGGTCAGATCTGCAGATCTCCTTAAGGTGTTCAAAAGCAATTATGTCACTTTGAGGCCTAACCCCAGTTATGGTATTTTCCATCACTTCATATGTATGTGAACACTGGACAATGAGTATGGAAGACCAAAAAATTGATGTCTTTCAATTATGGTATTAGCAACAAATATTGAGTATACCACGGACTTCCAGAAGAACAAACAAATCTGTGATAGAAGAAGAGCCAGAATTCTCCTTAGAAGCAAGGACGGTAAGACTTCATCTCATATATTCTGGGCATGTTGTCAGAAGGGACCAGTCTGTGGAGAGGGACTTCATGCTTGGACAAGTAGAACATCAGCAGAAAAAGAAGACAACCTTCAGCATGGACTGACCCAGTGACTGCAACAGTGGATTGAAGCACAGCAATGAGTATAATGGTGCAGGACCAGACAGCATCATTCTGTTGCACATAGGCTCCCTATGAGTTGGAACCAATTCCATGTCACCTAACAGCAACAGTTTTGTTTTGGATATGTGCTGTGTATGCATCCATTTCACTATTGTGGGTCAGGATGTGAATGTGACCCAAGAATCGTAATTATTTATGATTATCACAGTCATGGTAAGTGGAAATTAGACTGATATTGAATGTTCTATAGAACATTGAGCTACATAGAAAATGTGCCCCTATGTAAAATAATTGTTTGTTTTCTTTATGGATTTTTTTAAAGGCTGGATTACAGTGGACCTTCCAGAGAATTTTTCTTCCTGGTATCCAGAGAACTCTTTAACCCATATTATGGCTTATTTGAATATTCAGCCAATGACACATACACAGTACAAATAAGTCCTATGTCTGCATTTGTAGACAATCACCATGAATGGTAAGTTTGTTTTTATTTCCTAACACTTTTCTTCAGTGGACTTGCCGTGTGATACTAATTTTTATATGAACTCACAGTTAAAAAAAATTTTTTTAACAAAATCATATTTCAGTTTAATATCTCTCAGAGTCTTGGTTTTGTTTTCAAATTTAAGTACATAGGCAGTCTCCAAAGTAGGAATATGTTATGATCCAAAAAATCAAGTTTAAGAGAGTTAGGTAGAATTTAAAAGGTTTTTCATGTAGAAGTCAAGTTACTGATGTTAGATTCCCAGCAAAGTCCCTGAGTCCCTGTCAGCACCTCTGGGTATGTATGAGGTGGGGTGGGGTGGGGTGGGGTGGGGTTTATAGCGGAAGGGCCTGATCAGGAAGTCAAGAAGCTTTTTAAGGTAGTCCTGGAGGAAGTAGCAAACATTCAGTGTTGGGGGTGGGGCACAGAACAGCTGGCTGAAGAAACTGAGGTGATGGTGGTGTTCTATTGGGAAGTAGGAGGAGTAAGGGTAGGGTACAGTGGCCTGAGGAGGAACTGACAGTAGAAGGGAGGGGGCTGGGAGTGCCTCTTTTCTACTTTCTCCTACAAAATTTATCAAGAAAAGTCAACATAGGTTTCCTATCTGGGCATTATTTTTTTCTGAAAGTCTCAAATTATACTCTTTTCAAAATTTCCTTAAAAGCTTTCTAGTTTTCTACATTTATAGACTAAATATTTTTATAATCCCTATTAGCTTGTTTCTACTCATTTTCATTGATAGTTAACAAAAGAAAGAACATGAGTAGGACTCTTGGAAAAAGCTTTGGGCTATGATTTAGCCAAAAGGTTAATATTGGTGGGTGGAGGGCGCTAACTTTTAGGACTTATTCTTCAAATTAACGTCCATTCAGCTATGATTTGGAGTCCTTTTAACTGTAGCTATTGCAGCTGTGCTAACTTAAGTGGAAATAAAGAGAAACCCGCAGCTGGGTATTAATCTTAAAATGGCTGCCGAACACTAAATTACTAACTGACAATATGAACCTCATCAGTGTGGATTTACACTTTTGGAAGGCATCAGACTTTCAGAGAGCTAGAAATTTAATATTTCTCAAAGAGAAAATAAGTGTACATTTCAGTCAGCAAATCCAGTCATAACAGATACATTCAATAAGTTTCCAGAGTGATTCAGAATAGAATTGAGCCTTGAAATTTTAGAGAACAGAATGTCCCATGAGGAAACTTCCCCAAATGTCCATATGCCTAATTCTTAGATGTTGACAATGATTGTCAGGAGTTCACTCGGAGGCAGAATATGGTCAGGAACTGAGAACGGACTTCTCCTCAGGAGGGAATTGCAACAGAGCCTGTATTAGAGAGATCGTGTTAATGTCTATCCAAGCAATTTAGAAGGGAACATTTGCCTCACAAGTACTTGAGTCATCTGGTGCAACATCTCATAGAAGAAGTCTGGGGAAGTGTCACTAAAAATGCTAATAGGGAGTTCATGTGGGCAAAGTGAGATACTACATGGTGACCATTACTGACGTGGAGTGAAAGAGTATTGCTTCTCTAAATATCAGAGTTAAATGTTTCCCCATGAAGTTGCTAGACTAATGAAGACTGCCTACAGTACACATAAGTTCTCATAGACCTAGTAGGCAAGTAATGCTGGTCAAATTTAGATGGTTTATTCTGGAAGGCATGTTGGGAAGCAAATCAAACCATTTAGAAATTGCTCTACAGCATGAAAACTATCTCATACCTTCCTTCTCAGGTTTCGGTTCAGTGGTCGGATCCTTGGTCTTGCACTAATTCACCAGTATTTGTTGGATGCCTTCTTCACACGGCCGTTTTATAAAGCTCTTCTCAGAATGTAAGAGTATTTTTATTGCATAATTGGCATGTAAAGTTACAGTATCTCTTTTATTTAAAAAATGCCTTGTCAGTCATTGCTTATCAAATCTGTTTTTATTAAACTTAATAGTGGTTTGCATTATTATGTTATTATTTATCCCTCTCTAGCCTCCAAAGTCTTAGAGTCCTGGAGTGGCACTGTAGGATAAACACAGGACTAATAATTTGCAAAGTCGGTGGTTCAGACCCAGCAGCCATTCCTCAGAAACCCTGGCACTTAACAACAACAACAACAAGCCTCCAAAGTTTTAGATTTGCACTACTCCAAATACTTTATCCTCATTTGTTGCCGCATGTTTCTTCCAATCAATTGCACTTTAAATACAGCATTGAAATTCTTGTGGTATTAATGTCAATTAATAGAATAGTTGTGGGTTCGTCTTGGTGACTAACAGCCCCTTGTTCTTTATTAGATGGATTTTTTATTTTGCTTTATGGAGACTTCCAGGTGCTTACTCTTAATTTAATTTTTGTTCTCCTTTGTTTTTGTCAGAAGAAGGCAGTGCCATACCATGCTTTTCCTGTGTTGTTCCTACCTATAGGGTCCATGGAACTTTTAATTCTCTGTTATCATGATGAAAGACTGTGATCATTGTAAAATGGGCTTTCCTATAATCAGTGACTGAAAAGGAAAAAGCAGCTGTCTGTTGTGTGGTGGTGGCTGCGGCTGTGTGTGTGTGTGCCGTCAAGTCCATTCTGACTCCTATAGACCCCATATATGGTTTCCGAGGCTGTAACTCATTACAGGAGCAGCTGTTGGATTCCTCTGTTGACCTTGCCATTAGCAGCCCAACATGCAGCCTACTACATTACCAGAGCTCCTTGTCTGTTACATTAGTAGCTCAAATTTACAATGAAAAAGGCCAGAATGTTACTTGGCTCTGTCTAACCCATTCCCCAGCCGAGACCATATGTCTTGTATCCATGTGCCGTCTATAAAACAGAAGTATAGATCTCAAGTGTGAGGGCTTTAAGTAAACAAATCACCTTAGAGAGGGTCAGTAGGAAAATGCTTTGCCATCTCACTTTCAGTGCCAGGACAATTAAAACATGCACAGAAAGGGTCATTTTATGGCTCTCTGGTTTCTCCTCTGTGTCACCCTTAAAGCTTGGTATTCCTGAAGCTTCCATTCTTGGGTCCCTGCTTTTTTCTCTTCCTGCTGGCATAGGAAAATCTTCTCACCTGTCTCATATCCTGCTGATTCCCAAGTCTGTATGACCAGTCCTCATCTCTGGCATTGTAGATTCAAATGATCAACAGTTCACTGAATGTCTCCACCTGGATACCTCACAGTACCTCTAAAAAACATGATTAAATGCTCACCAATTTCTCCTGACCCAAATCTTTATCTCTCCCATGTACCTAGTCCCCATTAGCAATAACTGTATTCTTAAGTCACTCTGAACAGAAATCAAGAGCCACTGCAACCAGGTATGACAAATATAGAGCACATGTTCACTCATTTCCCCCTCCTACCCTACTCTTTGTGTGGCATTGTAGGATCAGCACTGGACTGTGAACTACAGGGTCAGCAGTTCAAACCCACCAGCTTCTCCTTGGAAACTCTACAGAGTCTCTATGAGCCGGAATCGACTTGAAAGCACTTAACAGCAAAACAACCCTACTCCCATGGTGTATTGTTGTTGTTGTTGTTGTTGT